TCGTACCGCTCAGGAGTTTTCTCGTGTTTCGCACGCCACCTGCTAAGGACTGCTCACGAGTGTTCTCGTTTTTTCACGCCCATGGAAAAAGGAGCGAATCTAGATACTTATGGAAATTTTGTTTGGCCCCTCTTCATAGAGGAAAATGTTTTACGCAGTACCATACGTTAAAAAAGTACTAGGAACTTTAATTGTTTAATTGTTTGTTTTTGTAAATAAAATGTTATAATTATTGAAAAACAACACCTAAAGTGCATTATGATGATTTAAATAATGTGCAGTTTGCCCAAAAACGTGCGGTCCCTGGCGTATGTCTTAGAGATTTCTATGCGGTACGCTATCTGTTAAAGTACAGCACTATAACCACTTTCATCAGAATCTCCTGCAAACTGGTTCAAAAGGTAGATTCCTAGGGCCTTCAGAATTATAAAAACAGATTTTTTTTTTTACCATGACTCATGCCTATTCTATATATATAAAAGCCTAATATGCGAATTGACCCCTCGGGAGTTGCACCCAGAGACTGGGAGTTCGATCGTTTGCTCTGATGTGAGCTGACCACCAGGGGGCAGCGTGGAACAAAGGAAGGCCCCAGCCAGTAGCTGGCAGGTGGGGAAGGGAGGCCCCAGCCAACAGCCAGAAGGCCCCAATCGGCCCCGATCGCCAGCCAGGCCTAAGGACCCTGCCCGTGCACAAATACCGTGCACCGGGCCTCTAGTTAAGCAGTAACACTTGACACTAAGATCCAATGTCTGTTTTCTGAAACACTCCATTTTCCACTGTAGTTTCACCTCTCTTGTGTGTCAAACGGCTGGTCTGGACCTAATCAATGGAAATTGAGATCCATGCCTGGGCTGCGACCCTCACTTCAGGCATGCTGGACTGGCTGACTAGGAGACAGAACTCCCTGCGTAATGAGGGCGAACACTCGAGGCTTTGTGGTGCACAGTAACTCCCCACCTTCCCAACTTCAACAGAATGAATGTCTCCCAAGCCAAACTATCCATTCGGATGGTTTCCGGCATGAAACCGTGGTTGCAGGCTTCAGTGACAAGCCTGAAGGGTACCTGCTGTCTGAGATCCGGACAGGGAGAGCCCTCCATGGGAACCACTGCCTCCAGACTTTCTGGGTTCAGGAAGGTGCTAACCTAAGCAAGTGAGCATACACTTGAGCTCCCTGGCACACCCCCAGCCACTTCCTCTCTGCAAAGGGCTTCAAAGCACTTCTCCACCTCTCCCCACCCATTACACCAAACACCCACAGGGGGTAAATTACTCTGAAACACTTAAGTATTGTCCTAGCTCAACACTATAATTTAATAAACGCTTACGATTTAGCAGTGCCATAGAAGCCCCTCATCTGTTTTCGCTTTCATTTTTCTTCTGGGCATTTCTCTCTTTCCCCCTGCATCTGCCACCCAGCTTCTCCTTTCTCCCTCCCTCTCCTTCCTCTCTCTCCTTTTTCTCTCACCTTCTCTCTTCCTCTGCCCCCACTTCCACCTGCTGGGAGAGCAGGGTGGGACACAGTACATGTCTGCTTCTGCCTAGGGGAGTATTTCTTTGGCTAAAGCAACACCCACTTTGAAAAGACTGTCTCTGAGGAGAGGGTTGAACACCAGATCTGGAGTGGTTATATGTTTTTGATGATCTGTACCTGTTTACCACTCTCCCGAGGAACCACTCAGTTCCTTTCTTTGGGCTGGAATTCTAAGGGAGGGACCTACTCAAGACAGAAAGGGGTCTGCAGGAAGAACAGCTGGGCACAGGAGAGAGCGCAGGGAAGAACAAGTCTGCTACCTGGGCTTCTTACTTGCCGCTGATGCTGGCATATTCCCCTGGTGAGCATCGCCCATAGCAGGCATCTCTAACTGAGTCAGTCAACAAATATTTATTGAGCACCTACTGTGCTGGGAGTCAGTCTAGACCAGCCGTGGGCAAACTACGGCCCACGGGCCGGATACGGCCCGTTTGAAATGAATAAAACCTCCGGTTTGGACACGTGGCAGGTAGCTGGCCACATTCTCGGTGGCCACGGAGCGGACACACTGGTCCTCCTGGGTGCAGACCCCT